TAGTGTTTTTTTTTCTTTTTTTTTTGTGGGTTGTTTTTGAGAGATTTTTCCTATAGGGCATATGAGCTTGCCTGAAAGACAGAGAGAGACAGAGAGAAAAAGCGAGAAATCACCCCCCAGGGAGGATGGCCACACCACAATCCCTTCTCCTCTATTCTCCTTTCGGGATCTTGGGAACACACGCACACACACCCAGCGTGAGTTTAAGCCACTGTGTCCGGGACTCAAACCAAAATAAAAACAGAATTATTTTAAAGTCAGTAATCTCACAACTGAATATTTATACAAAGAAAAGAAATCAGAAGATATATCTCTACTCTATGTTTAGCTTAGCAATATTTTCAATAGTTAAGCTATTGAATCAACTTAAGTGTCCATCAATGAACAGATAATGAACAGATAATGAAATGTGGTGTGTATTCACATTGCAATATTATTCAGTCATAAGAAAGTAATAAAATCCTATTATTTGCAGCAGCATCTAAGAGCCTAAAGGAAACTATGCTAAGTGTAAAAAGCCAGTCACTGAAAGACAAATACTATTAATATTTGTTCTCACTTATTTGTGTAATCTAAAAGGTCTGCTCACATAGACATAGGGAATGGAATGGGGAATACAAAAATGGGGAATGAAGCTGGGTAAAGGGAAGACACAGAGAATTTGGTTAACAGATATCAAATTACATTCAGATAAAAGAAATAAATTCCAGAGTACTAAACATAGTAGAGTAACTGCAGTTAATAGTTTAATTTATAATTTCAAATAGCTTTAAGAAAATATCTTGAATGTTCATAATACAAAATAATGAAAAAGTTATAGATGATGGATATGGTTTTCCACTGATTTAGTTATTGTGCATTGTATTTATACATAGAAAAACTACACTGTACCCCTTAAATATATGCAACTACTATATATCAATTAAAATTATAAAATATTTTTAAAAGATAATTAATGTACACACACATATGTGTGTATATGCATATATATATGAAACAATATTTTTCAGAATTAACTTGAAAGTATTTACTCAAGAGAAATGACAATAAAAAAATAAAACTGTAAAAATTAACTAAAGAAAAGTAGGATTCTAAACAAAATATTAATAAATTGGTGATATGTAAAAACGACAAATCAATTTGATATATTTCATAAATAAAGTAAATGGAAAATACAATAGAATTTTTATAGAATAATATCGAAAAATATTTTTCTATGGAATAGAAAAATTTTTAACATAACATAACATAAATTTGTTTGTGCCCTCACCAGCAAAATAAGATATCACCCCAAGGACAGTGGCCATGCCACAATCCCTTCTCCTCCAGTCTCCTCTTGGGATTTTGGGCACGTACATACACTTACCTGGTGTGATTTTCAAGCCACCATCCGGTACTCAAATCATTACCTGCCATGTGGGAATCCAGCACCTTAACCATTACAACATCAATAATTGTTAATTATATTAGATGTAATAGGGCATTGTGTTTAGATACTAAAAATGCTCATATAGACTTGAAAAAGCATTATAAACACTCTATAAAGAAATTAATAATGCAAATAATTAAATATTTTAGCAAAGATAGAAGATAAATGGTTGGCCTCATAGTTTAGTAGTTAAAGGAGCTGGATCCCATATAGCCTACTGAAGTTTGAATCCCAGCCCCAGTGAATTGAACAATTTGCCAGACATGTGTGCATGTATGTCCAAAATCCCCCAAAAAATGGAGAAATAGAGAAGAGGGATTGTGGCATGAGCACACCCAGTTGGGAAGTGCTTTCTTCCCTCTCCCCCCTCGGCCTTTCTGACTCTAATGAGTTAATACATCCTCTGGCAATTAAAAAAGTATACAAGATACAGAGAAAGCCATGAGAAATATTTTTCATAGAGAGTCTAAAATTACAAAATCAATTAATTTTCATATATAATGAAACATAATCCAATATACATAGATTTTTATTAACAATATTTCAGAGATTTCAACAATATTTCAGAGATTTTAGATATCACCTTGATTTGTGTGATTAAATGTGAATACTAAGATTGCTTTTAACACTTCATTATATTTTGGATGTACACATCTAAGGCAATTTTGAAATTAAATGACATTATTGATTACAAATCAGATATATTATCCAAAATGAGAAAGCATCATTTCTATCTATAATTTCATAAGTCTACAAACTTTTATTAAATTCACGCATGCTTGATATTTCATGAAACTATTAAACTTGTGGAAGCTGAAACTTTTTGTCATTTATTCTCATTTGATTCCATAGATGTGTGATTGAGCAATTATATCATCAAAAAATTACTTGAATAATTTACTAGCAACATAAATAAAACATATGTTGGCACAAATAAATGTTAGTGTTGCTCAGTCTTAAATTACTTTACTGATTTTTATTTATTTTTTTTTTTTGGAGAGGTTTTTGCTATAGGGTACATGCACTCGCCAGACAGACAGAGAGAGACATAGAGACAGAAAGTGAGAAATCACCCCCCAGGGAGAATGGCCACGCCACAATCCCTTCCCCTCCGTTCTCCTCTCAGGATCTTGGGCACGCACGTACGTGCCCGGCATGAGTTTTAAGCCACCGGGTCTGGGACAGGAACCGTGGCCAACTACATGGGAGTCTAGTGACATAGCCATTACGCTAACTACTGGTCCCTGATTTTTAATTCTTTAATAGATTGGTGGGGGCCAACAGGTGGCATAGTGGTTAAGGTGCTGGCTCCCACATGGTCTACCATGGTTTGAGTCCTGGACCAAGTGACTTAAAACTCTTGCCGGACACATGTGTACATGTACCCAAAAATCCTGAGAGGAGAATAGAAGAGAAAGGATTGCAGTGTGGCCATCCCCTCCTGGTGGTAGTGATGGTGAGGGGTAGTTTTAGAATTTTCTGTCTCTCCATCTAACTCTGTTTCTCTAGTGAGCCCATGCATCCCATAGCAGAAATCTCTCTCAAAAAAATAAAGCTGTTGGAGGGAGTGAACTGCCAATCATTCCTTTTTATTTGATATCACTAAGACTGACAGACAATACCCTATTCTATAATATCATCATGCCAATATAAGTTTTACAAGATAATAATAAATTTTTTTCTATGTTGAACATTAAGAGAATTTTTATGTGCCTTAATATTGCTGTTAAAGAAGGATTCATGTAGAAAATATCTTATTCTCTTGATCTCTGGTGATCTATTGTCTGTGAATTTTGAGAGTCTCTAGTGTTTTTAGTTCAGCGAGTTTGATACCATGACTCTCTAACTGACTGGATAATGTAGCACACTTCTGATGTAGTCTGAAATAAAACTTCACAGAGAAAAGAAAGTTACTTATAGTTATGTTTTCTCAGATTGGAAATTTTCCCAGACTGTAGGTTTCTTATTCTAACATTAAAACCTACCTAAATTCATAGCATTAGTCATATCTTGAAATTATTTCTAAATTTGGTATCTGAGAGAAATACTGTGGAAAATGTATTTTGTGTTTTGCATCATTTACTGCACATTTAGTTTGAGAAGACAAAGTGTTTCCCTTTATGTGTGTGTGTGTATGTGTGTGTGTGTGTGTGTGTATCTTCTATTAATCATTATCATTCACTGTTTTAGAAGAAAGCTAACTAGAAGAAAAAAGTTCTGTCTGCTACATTAACTTACATTGATTCAGTGGTGGATACAGCCAAAGCTGTTAAAGTGAATATGTAATTATCTCATTGTGAATCTTTTCAACACAAATGTCTGCACTCAGAATTGTGTGATTGCCCCACAAGGCTAATGTTCTGGTTTTCAAAGATCTTAGAAATGCTGAGTTATCCAATTTTTTGCTCAATACAGAACATTTTATAACATTTAACCCACAAATATTTGTTGGCATTCTATTGTCTTCTCTTATTGCTATTGTACTAAGTGAGTTTTAGTATTACAAACAAAAAACTATTGGTTGTTTACAGTGCCAAAGCAGAAGGTAGAATAAGAATAGCTAGCATCTATTAAGCATCTACTAGGTAAGCACTGTGATTTTTTTGTTACAGAAGTTATCAATAGAACAATAACATGAGGTGAATATATATCAGTATCTACTTGAGACTAATGGGAAGATAGAAATGAAAGTATTAAGCAACTCTAGTTTGCATTATACCATTGGGATTTGAGTCATAATTTTGACTCCTTGACACTCATAAATAATAAATATTAGTAAAGAATCAAGTAATTTAAGTTTACTGGGAAATGGGCATACCCTATACTTTTGTTCAATTTAACATATATTAAACATTTTTGTCATATTTTTGTGTCTTAGGTTACACAAGAAGAAATATATACTCCTTGCCTAGAGAGGGTTCATGTTACAATGAAGTGAAAAATAATAAATGTTTTAAGAAAGATTTTTGCTATAGGACTCATGCGCTTTCCAGAGAAACAGAGAGAGACAGAGAGACAGAAAGTGAGAAATCATTCCCCAGGAGGATTGTCAACTCTGCAATCCCTTCTCCTCCACTCTCCTCTCTGGATCTTGGTCACGCACATGCACTCAGAGTGAATTTTAAGTTGCCACGTCCAGGATTCAAACCGTGGTTGGCTACATGGGAGTCCAGCAATGTAACCATTACGCCATCGGATGAACCCACAAATAACATTTTTACGCCTTAGTAGAAGTGAGGTGAGTGACTACAAAGAGAAATATACAAACAAATTTGTTTAGAAAGTTAAGAAACTATGCAATTAATTTTAAAATCTCTTCTGCACTAGATTCTAGTTTCTATTTTGGTTCCAAAACTGGGTCTATAGTCCATGAAGATGAGATTAGTGAATGGAAAATGAAGACCTTAAAAACAATCTGATTAGGGAGAAGTGCTCACCTGCTGAAATATCCATTTTGTAAGATAAATAATAATGTGATTGAATGTATGGAAGAAAATGAAATGAAAAAATAAAAATAAATAAACTAAAAAACAAAAACAACAACAACAACAAAAAAAAAATCAGATTATACCAGCAGTTTGGTGACATACTGGTAGAGTTGTTCTGTAAATCCTTCAGAGGAAAACTTTTCCTGCACCCTGGCTCTTCCTGCCAGGCCCATTTTGGCTTTTAAGGAAGGTTCATGGACGAACTTCTCTATTGCTTCTGAGAAGTTCACGGGGTCAGGCTCACACAGAAACTCTGTGACACCTTGGACAGTGGACTCCAAGGGCCCACCTGAATTTACAGCGATGACTGGGAACTGCATGTACGTGGCCTCCAGAGGGACAATGCCAAAGTGTTCATTGCTCGGTGTGTAAAGCACACACATGCAGCCATGGAGGAGTAAGATTTTCTGTTTGTCTGAGAAAGACTGGAGGAAGGTCACATACTGGCCAAGGTCAGACTGCTGGACCATTTCTTTCAATTCTTGATAGTGTTCCACGTTCTCCAAGACTCTGTCGTCATAACCACCTGCTATAATAAAATAAATAAATTGAGCCTGAACCACTGACCTCTATACACCACACCTCCCTATTGTTTGAGAAAAATAATGTCTTTTATGCTGTACCCAGTCCAAGTCTTACCAGTATTAAGTTTTAAACATACAATTCCATGTTCAGAATATTTTAATTATATTTTCTCTAGGTTATTGCTTCTCTGTCTATATAACTTGAGTGATAATTGTGCCTTAATTGGTTTTGATAGTCAAAGTATATCATATCAAAGTTGATTAATTTACTACTTTGTAGTATAATGAGACCAGGGTTACTGTAGTTTCCAGAGTCAGTCCACCAAACTGTTCACTGTCGTCTGTTAGGAAATTGTTGGTGATCATACTTTTGCCTGAATCTGTAGCAAGAATACTGTTTTTTCTTTTTTTCTTTTTTCACAAAGATGATGTATTGTATTTTTACACACTCAGCTAAGATAATAAAAGATGTTTATCAAAAAAAGAAACTATGCAGTTATTAATGTGTATGATTCTTAATGATGAAAATGAATCTGCTATTTATAAGAAGTATTTAAGTGTATCCCAGACACTTTTAAGCCAAAGTGTGAACCTATGAAATAGTGATATAGGAGTAACCAAGAATTTGATTTTTCTGGAACCCCATTGGTGAGGGCATGTGGAGAGATATTATTAAAGTGACAGGAAGAGTTCTGATACTGGGGCTTATGTACAATATTAAGGAGTTTGAATGTCAATCAGAAGGTAATGTGAACCTCGAAAATGTCAGTATTGTAGTGATATATTAAGGTTTTTCATTTCAGAAAGCTAACTCTAGAGATGAATGAGG